CTTCCCTTTTAATGTACTTTGTTGTGTAAATCCAGATTTTCCATACATAACATGTATTGAAAGACAGAGTACGAAGGAAATGAAGCAGTATCTACATTTGTTTCAGTGACTAATAAGCAAAAATAAAACTTCAGCTGTGATGCCACGCTTTTTAGAAATCAGACATATAATAAGCCACAGATTTATAGGATGTGGTCTAATAAACCTAAGAAAAGTTTCATTTCCTCCTCGCCAAAATGGTTCACTCCCTGTCTATGCGACTAGCTTTGCAAAGTTAGCAGACGTCTTTTTTTTTTGTTAAATGTGTAAATTGAGAGATTTAACGAGCACCAACAATGTGCCCCCCTGAATACACGCGCGCGGGCGCGCGCGCGCGCACACACACACACACACACACACACACTCCCTCCCTCCCATATCCTTAAATATGAAATAAAAATAGGCTCCTCGCTAGCAAAAAGGTAGGTTACCCAAAACACCAAAAGGGACAGCGTTTGCCATCTTGTTAATCCAACCACTGATCAGGAAAAGTTTATACAACCCCCGAAAAGGGGGAAGCAGGGAATAAGGGAAGGATTCAGACAAAGAACTTTTTAAAAGGTTGCTTGCCAGCATTTCCGTGAAAATAGCATTAACTTAGCAATTACGGGAAAAAACACTCTTTCTTATCTGAACGCACTTATGCCACGGGTCCCGCCCTATTATGGTCACTATTAGACATGTTAATAGCCCCAATGTAATGACTGTGTGGCTAGCTTTAAAAGGTATGTGAATAGCTAACTAGAAAGAAGTGACTCATGCCGGCCAGGTGAATATTGATTTTCTTAGTCATAATTACTCAGTTGGTCTACCAACTTTAATTCTCTGGAAGGGAGGGCTCAAGGGATAGACTCCAGCCGCCTTGTAAGAAAAGACAGGGAAGGGACGACGAAAGTTAAGTATGGCTGGGGTACAAAGTACCCTGCGTGTGGCACTGGTGAATGCCACAAAGTCACCCGATGTGACTGTGAATGTCCTGAATCAAAAGCTTCCTCCCAGCCCCTGAGAGGGGAGAGTGTTGAATAGGACCCAACACATCTTCGTTAGCAAGTGGAGGATGGTTAGTATCCTCCCCTGAACCGTGTGCCGTTGCCATAGTCCTCATTTAACAGCAGTTTTAAGGCTACGCCCCTGTGCCGTGTGCTCCTCAGCAGTTGCTATACTTCCCTGTGGCTCACTTGCAAAAGGGGATCACAGCATCTCCCTCTCCGGGTTGTCGGCGGGTCCTAGAGTTACTGGTAGCTCAGTGCTTACAGGAAGTGCCTGGCCCATAGGGGGCGCTGTGTTGCATCTCACTCTGATCAGTACTTCCAGGGATCCTGGTAGCTGCCCCTGGCGAAGCAGGCGAGGCTGGTCTGCCACCCCCATCCCCTTTTACAGACACACGGAGTGTGTCACAGAGGGGTGAAGCCCTTTGCCAACAGAGGTGAGGGAAGGCTGGACTCAATCCTATGAGAGAGAGAGGACACACGTGAGCTAGGGCAGAGAGGGGGCGGAGAGAGAATCCCACAAGGGCGAGAGAGAGAGAGAGAGAGAGAGAGAGAGAGAGAGAGAAAGAGAGAAGCGGGACTCATCAGAAGCGGGGTCTGAACTCATAACCATGAGATCATGACCTGAGCCAAAGTCAGATGCTTAACCGACTAAGCCACCCAGGCGCCCCCTACCTCTGACTCTACTCTGGTGTGGGTTCTGCTGTGCTAACCCAGAGCCACCTGGAGCACAGCCACGCTGGGATTTCCCTATCCCACCGCAAATCCTGAACTAGTAAGTACTGCAAATAATACCTAAGTAGCTTCCGTGAAAACGTCCACAGCAAAGCAAGCCCATCGCATGGACACACATGCTCCTAGAACCTTGCCGAGTGTTTGTGCTGGTGGCCAGCAACTCTGGCCAAGCCCCACTTTGTACGCTTCCGCTCACTGGATGCTCACAGCAGCCCCTGTGTGACCCCCCCCTTCACTGGCAGAGAAACTGAGGCACAGAGCAGCTACGTAACTTGCCCAAGTCCCCACAGCCCATGAGGGGGCGTCTGCGTGTCTGGCCTATTCCCGATTTAGGGATTTAGACCCAATGCTGGAAGCGGGGCATATCAGGGCTTCCCCCAGAAGAGGTTTCTGTGTCCTGAGGGCAAAGCGGAGACATGAACGCAGTTGCTGGCCTCAGAGATCTCGAGTTATAAGAAGAAACCCAGTCTTTCTGTTTCATTTTCCTCATACTCAAAATGGGTGCCTAGTTCTCCTTTATCTGCCTCGTAACTCTGACCAAAGATTAATGAGTTACCATTTGCCAGGCCGCTGGGGCAGGAATAGCTATACGTGCGGTGTGTGGCCTTATCATCCAGGGTCAGAATGGACAGCCGGCTGCACTTGTTAAAACCTGGGCCAGGGAGGGGCTGCTGAGAAAGGCTTTGCTCAGGCCATGGGCTGGTGCACACAGAGGGAGGCCTCCCTGTCCTGTCACACCCAGACCCAGTAAAGAACACGGGCCTTACGTGTTCACCGGCCCGGGAAATTGGAGTGCGGGCACCATCGTGGGTGGAGAAGAGGGCGTTTCCAAAGAGACCAGGAACATCTTCAGTTTTGTTTACATCTGGCCAAAGTGGGGGCCATCACATAGGAAGATTTTCACAGGACACTAACACACCGAGTTGCTAACCAGAGTTAGGACACGTTGCGGTGCACGGAAGCACCCTCGGTGTCGCCTCAAGTGGGAAGAAGATACAAAAGTGCAAACAAAGTATGATTCCAATCCTGTGGAACACTTTTAAAGTTTCGACACAGGGATGACGGGGGAGAAACACAGCCAAATATTAAGGGATTATAAATGGGTAAAACGACGGTGGGTGTGCACATTTCCTTCTCTATGTTTCTCCACATGTTTTCAGTTCTCTTAAAGGGCTGCCTACTACTTCTTACATGAAAACAAGCTGGTGAGGATGAACGAGTACACCTTTTCTCTCGCTGAAGGCAAGACGTGTGTACCCGTGTTACATATTCCTCTACGCCTAGGCCTGTTCCCTGTTCCCGGAGTCCCAGCGCCCAGCACAGCCCCCAGCACGTAGTAGGTGTGCTGTAACTGTTTTTTAAAAGATAGACGTTTCACTAATCGGCTCTTAAATATTCACTTTTCTTAAAAAAAAAAAAAAAAAACACACAAAACAAAACCCAGCATTAATACAAAATCATTTGCCATTCAGGTCTCAAGAGTTACTTAAAATTTTTTTTATCTGCATTGACTTCTGCTTTTCTGAGAACGAAAGCATGTTCTACATGGTCTTTATGCTTTGAGACTACTAATTTGAAGGGACCCGTCACTCCCAAGCACGGAGCAATATGGGGTATTGACATAGTATTGAATTATTTAAAAGAAATTAACAATGCTTCCTGTCCTTGGACAAGCACGGCTGCGAGGAAAGCCATTCACAGCTGCCTCAGGAAGGTATCACTCGCTGCAGAGGACTGAGCATTTCTCAGTGCCCTGAATTCTACAAGAAAATCCTTAAGTTCTAAATAACTAATAACAAAGGCAAAGTCGAGGGAGTAACTTCTCTTCCCCTGGGAGCTGTGAAACGTCCCAGGAAATTATTTCCTGGGGGTCAAGTCTAATGGGATAACATCATTCTCACGGAAGCTCCACATGACCCTGGACCATGCAGCCTTTACGGGGAGCCAGGCACCTTGGGTTCACGGGTGCGCCACCCTCCACCCTCTCCTCGCAAACTAGCATTCTTATGGCTATGATAAACCTATCGGTGATCAGAACACCCAGACATCACGGCACCCGATGATGTGACGGCAACCCGGAGGGAATGTAGGGGTCACGGTGGGTGCAGCCTGCCCTAACGCGGGGTGAACTTTGGACGGGCGGTTGCATTTCAGAGCTAGCTCATCTCATACCGTCATTCTGCTCCGAGACCTACCTCCAAACACCAGGGCTCCCCAACCTTTTGTAGGGAGTGGCTCCTTTTCATGTCCCTGAAGACTTGAGTGCTGACAGTGAAGTCTGAGGGGGGGTAGAGGTGCTGACAGTCATGTCCCTGAGTGCAGCAAGGGAGGGGGCACTGCTGCCAGGAAGAAAGGGGAACAGAGTGAGGCTTGGGAGGGAGGGGGACGCGGTCACCAAGGCATTCATGGCCCCCAGCCTGACTTTCTTCCCTAACCCACGCTTCTCTACAAACTCAGAGCATGGTTCCCGATGCGACCCCAGGACTCTTCCACCTCCCTGCCTTCCAGCTTGGGGCCCCCTGTAGCAACATCTTAAATACAGCCTCCTTCATGCAACCTTTCTGTTACATCCCTTCCCGCTGTCCCCACCTCTGCCCATCCTTCCCCCAGTGGACATGGCTGCTCCTTGCTCTGAGCCAGCTGGCCAGCATTTTCTCTCTCTCTCTCTCTCTCTCTGTCAACTTACCTTACTCAATCTTCTATTAATTTAACCAAGTGATACTGCTGATAGTTCTACCCTACAAAAATGCAATCACATATGGTTCCACCCAATACTACCCTAGGGCTATCTGGGGATCTGTCTAGTCACCTTCTCCTCTGCCGGACTACGATTTTGGAGAGGCAACTACATTTACATCTCTGGACCCCTCGAAAAGATCCGGCAGCACACAGGTATGCGTGCTCAAGAAGCAGGTGCTGTACTCAATTTCAGCCCGGCTGGAGCCTATCATGACAGCTGCTTCCTTGACTGCCGACCCTGTCGGGGGCTTTAGACAGGAATGTGCACGCTGTTCCTCAACTCCTCACAACCACCCTGTGAGGTAGGTATTGTCATGCCCATTTTACAGAGGAGGAAACTGACTCAGAGACGTTAAGGAGCATGCCCAAGGTCACACAGCTAGTAACTGGCGGAAGGGGAATAGGGACCAGGTCTCGGTCGACTCACGGTGCTGCTGTGTGGACTCGTTTGCCTGTCCAGACATTCCCTGTTACTCTATAAAAGGGGTAGAGATTTTAGGGGGCATAAAGAGACCTGGGGTCCAAGAAGGGCTATTTCACAACAGAGAAATATCATTCTGATTGCCTTTTAGAAAAGAAAACATCTATGCCCTTTGTATGCATGTGATGACTTCTCTACTCCAGTCTTTAAAAGGGTTTATATGAAGAAAAAAAAAGTGCCATAAATAAATTCTTCACCCTTCTTAATCCTGAATAACAGAATTCAGGACTAAGAGCATGAGACTGAACTGAGCACAAAACCCAATATCTTATGTTCTGATTTCATCAAATAGCAGCAGAATGAGCATAATGGATGCTAAAGACTCTGGGAGACAGCAAATCGATGGAAATAAAGGACGAATTCTATAAACAGCAACTGTATTTCCAGAACAATTTACATGGCTACCATATTACCTGGTCCTCCCACAGTGGCAACAGGGTGGGGGTGGGGGGCGGGGGGAGGGTGTCCAGGAGGATTAAAACCATCAAAAGGCCACATGAACTCCCCAAATGGGAAGGGGTCACATGGCCTGCAAGCTGGTGATACTCCAGGGTCCTAGCTGGCTGCAGCTGTCCCTGTCTGGTCTCGGAAAGCCACCATTGCCGGAAGCCCCGAGGTCTGCCCCCCAGAAAGGGCAGCCCAAGCTCCCAGAGGTAGCCCTGGTTGCCCATGCCTGGAGGTGTCCTCCCAGAGGTAGCCCTGGTTGCCCATGCCTGGAGGTGTCCTCCCAGAGGTAGCCCTGGTTGCCCATGCCTGGAGGTCTCTGGTCTCCGTCTGGGAAACAGAACGCCCCACTCTGCACTTCCCCACACAGCGCTCATTTGTAAACAGGAATGTGAGTCATTAGGCAAGCAGGAGTCCATTTTCAAGATCGGCCCAGCTTTACAACTAAGGTAATCTCATTCTGCCTTGTCACAGCGGTGACTCACCTTACTGTCTCCCATCAGAGGTGACATGGTTTAACCCTCCAACTGTTCCTGGAAGGAACCCAGCAATATGAGGGTTGAAATCCCTGTCTGCTCACTCTGTTTTCTAACAAGGTGCTGAGAGCAAAGAGGCAAGGCCCCCAAGGGCAAGTGTCCCAGAGGAGTTTGGGAAAGAAATGTATCTAAGGTTACCATAGACCACGGCATCTTTATTGTCTTCCCATGGCCTTTCCTCGGGTCTATACTCCCACAGGGGCCTGTGGCTTATGCGGATATGTTACTTACACACACACACACACACACACACACACACACACACACACACACACACTTACACACACACCCCTCCATCTAAAACCCAGATCTGCCATTCCTGGGAACCTCAGAGCCAAATCTGCAGGTCATTTCAACCAATTCTGTAGGAGCTCCTAGCTTCGAAATGTGTAAAATTATCCTTATTCCCTTCTTGTCTTCTGGGCGTACCCTGGTTTTCTTTTTTTCTCATTTCTTTAAATGTTCATTTCCAATCTTTTGGTATAACGTAAAGTCTTCTAAGCCACTTCAAATTTTGGAGGATGAAAAAGATGGCTTCTAAACAAATTCAAATGTATATACAACTACAAAATCATTTGGTACTGAGAAGGAACTGTAGCCGAATCTCCCCTTAATAAATATATAACTCATCAACGGATCCTAAAGATTAGAAAGCAGGCATCCACTGAGTTTTATGCTCCGCATCCATTCGTGCTTTTTCTGGTACCAGTACCTTGAATTACTTAGGAGGTACAACCCCAACTCTCAAGCTATGTGGACCCCTCGGTCCAACTGCACTCAACGCATCACATCCCCGTCCACAACCACTGGTTCAGACGATAAGATCTCTCTGGACTTCAACCTGTCTTCATTAGGTGACATCAACCCAGAGCCAAGGAGAGAGATGGTGTCCTGGTAAATGGGGGCCCCTGGATCCAGCCATGCCTGATGCATGCCACCCGTGTACTTCTTTGTTAGGAGTTTGGGGTCAATACAGTTACTTTGCTCAGGTCAGTTTGGACTGGGTTTGGAGAGAGAGAGAGGCATCTTGACTGGAGTAGTCTAGGTCACCTTAATCAGACTGACCTCAATAATTACCCACCCACGGATCAAGGGGTAATGTGGGAAGAAATGGAGACACTTCAGAAAAAGTAAATGAAAACCCCGTGAGTTTCATGGTCCTGGCATGATGAGGAGACTATTATAAGGCAGTACTTTGGAACAGGCACCTGGCCCTTTTTAAAATAGGAATGACTATGGCTTGTGGCCTGGGATGGAGAGAGGGGCCCTGAACCACAACACCTACAGGAACTGACACTCAGCCCCCCTGCTCCTCTGGTGCCTCCGATGTCACTGGCTACATTGCCCTAAGATGTGGTCTCCAGCAAGCAGGAGCCACGAACACTTAACAGCACCAGATCGGCCTCCCAGCTTTCTCCAGAGGCACCGCCTATTTGTGACAGACGATTTCGAAAGACACATTTCGTCTGGAGAAGGTGAAGGTACGAAGCTGTGGCATGTTAAGAGAGAAGGCAGACGGAGCGGATGGCGGGTTTCAATTTCACTGGTGACTCAGCACCTGATGACAAGGGGTGCTGACCGGTTCTGGGCCACGGCCACACGGATCAAGCATCAAGATGTGTCACCAAAAAAGTTGTGGTGACATTTGTGTATTCTACTATTTTGTCTCTTTGCGAGCTTATAGCTCCTTACACAAGTGGTTGGGCAATATTTAAATATTAATGCAGCAGAATGGAACCCAATGAGCTAGAAAGTACGATTTGCTTTGCCAGGAAAAATAAAAAGGAAAGGAGGAGTTGAAAAGCATTTAAAAAACAAAAACCCGAAAAAATATGAAAGCCTCCAGAGATAAAGATTTCGCATGAAATAATGTTATTCAGATCCAATATGGCGAACAGCTGCTACTGGCTGTTGGGAGAATTGTGAGCCCACCTCTTAGAAAGAAAAAACCAGAAGAAGTTTTAAATTCTGTCTCAGAAAAGTTTGATGTGATGGTTAATTTTATGTGTTGACCTGACTATGCCATGGGGTGCCCAGATATTTGGTCAAACGTTATTCTGAGTGTTTCTGGGGTTTGGGACAAGTTCAACATGAAAACTGACAGACTAAATAAAACCGATGCCCTCCGTAATAATGGGGGTGGGCCTCATCTAATCAGTTGAAGGCCCGAATAACAAAAGGCTGATTCTCCCCCCAAAAGAAGGAGGAACTTCTCCTTTTAGCCTGGCTGCCTTCAAGTGGAGCATAGGTTTTCTATGCCTTCAGACTCAAACTGCAACCTTGGCTCTTCCAGGGTCTCAAGCCTGTCAGCCTTTGGACATGAACTACACCATCAGCTCTCTTGGTTCCCGGGCCTTCAAAAGCAGACTACACTACATCACAAGCTCCCCCATGTCTCCAGCTTGCCTACTGAAGATCTTGGGACTTGCCTGTCTTCATAATCGTGTCAGCCTTACAATAAATCTCCTTATACACACACACACACACACGCACACACACGCGCATGCACGCACATCCTATCAGTTCTGTATCACCCTAATATATTTGAGTTGTATTTTTTATGTGTTTTCTCCCCCCAAGCAAGAGGGAAAGGATTATTTGTGGGTCTCTAAAAGAAACCAGAATTGTGAATTTCTAAGACCCAACGAAATGGGTCTTAGAAATCATGTAATCAATTTCTTTCACGATTTTATTTTAAATCTCTACGTCTAGACATAAAAGGACCTACCCAGGACTATACAGAGAAGAACAAAGCAAAACGGAGACTTTAAAAACTAGGAGTTCAGGGTTCTATAGAGAACATGGAAGAATCGTGTTTTGAAACTGCAGCATCTTTGGAGGAGTAAGAAATCCATTTGCGAGAAAAGCACTGGCAAGAGCCATTCCATTAAAGAAGCAAACTAGCAAAATCACAATTTTTTTTTAATTGCTAAGAGGGTAAAAGCCTCATATCGCTTTATCACGTATTCACATATACACACATGCATACAAACAAGGACGCCAGAAAGCAAATAAGCCACAGCAGCCACCTATCCAACTGTCCGACCCGGTAAGTAAAGCCCACATACACATTTGTGACCTTGGAAAGAGAGTTCAGGTCTGCACAGGTCACGCTGTTCTAGCTTTAACCTCCATCAATAATTCTCACCTCTTGAAGGTGAGGTAACTCTGGTGGGGACTAATTACATTTGAAATACGTTGTCAACCAACTTAACACAGACGCAAAGAAAACTGTAATCAGAGCTACAAACAAGCCACCATTTTTGTCATTAAATGGTAAAGCCAAACCACGACACTGTCGCTGACGTGGCAGGTGGAAAGTAACGTCTGATGTTCACGATTATGTTCCAAAACTGGGAGTGTGTGTGAGTGACGAAGTGTGAGAGTCTACAGGTGCGTATGTGTGGGCACATGTGCGTAGACCCGCGTGCACGCACACGTAGGCGGATGGCATTGAATATGGAAGCCAATGGCCCATGGCCGGGAATGGCTAGTGGACAGCTCACGTACTGAGACTCCTTCTTCTCGTGCCATTGTCAGTGACCCTGAGCCATCCTGCTCGGAGGTGGCATGGGGCAAAACATGATCACCGTCCCTACACTCAAGGGATAGAATGAATGAAGTCAGCCTTGGCCCTCAGGGACCACATCGTAGTGAGAAAGACCAGGATCCAAATGGAAGGCAAAACAGGATGGACCCAGAAGAAACCCGTGTCAAGTGCATCCCTATACTCGCCCTTGTACACAGCACAGGTCACCTCTTCTCAACCTCAGCACAGAAACAGATGCAGGGCCTCGGAGCCACTGCCACCTACCTGGCTGTGCGCCCCGCATTTCTGAGGGCCGGTTTGTCACGTCACTTGAGGGTACCCTCTAAGGGCCCTGCCCACCACCCACAAAGGCTCCAATTCTGCAGGGCTAGCAGAACACAGAGGAGGGGAACTCACGAGGTGCTCAATTGGCTCTAAGTACAAATCCAATGTGCCTCAATTTCTGGACATGGCCCTTATATAACAAGGGGAGAGTTGCTGAAGAAAGTTATATCCAAGGAGAAAAGGCGACACGTGGGCAGGAAAGCTTTCTTTTACGAGATAAAAGCTTCACATGGCCCAGAAAAATATTTTAGGGATACGGTATCATGAATGGGGTTTGAAGCGTCATTTCAAAAGATGCTTATTGGTTAAAAGAAAATGTTGCCAACCTGCTTTGTTTCCTGGGAGAAAAAAAAATACTTCAAAGTAACAAACGTTGAGAAGCTGGAAATAAAACATATATAGTTTTCATTACAGTATCATAAACAACGAAGGGAAAGAGGGTATAAAATAGTTTATTAAACTGCTTCGAATTCTGTGTCCCTCTCTTCTCCTCTCTTTGCCCCTCCCCCACTTGCTCTCTGTCTCTTTTTCTCTCAAAAATAAATAAACCTTGAAAAAACTAAAAATAAAAAAAAAGTTTATTAAAGAGTTTAGGATCAAGTAAAAATAACTTACTTGGGTAGTTCTGAATAAGAGATACTTTTACTTTTCAGCTGGTATGAACACTAAATGAGCTTTTTTTTCGATCTTTTTTTAACATTTATTCATTTTTGAGAGACAGAATGCGAGCGGGGGAGGGGTAAAGAGAGAGAGACACACGCAGAATCCGAAGCAGGCTCCAGGCCCTGAGCTGTCAGCACAGAGCCCAACATGGGGCTCGAACCCACGGACCAGGAGATCATGACCTGAGCTGAAGTCAGGACACTTAACTGACGGAGCCACCCACACGCCCCCTAAATGAGCTTTTTTTAAGTAAAGGTCAAGGCTCTACTGGGACGTAAGGTAATAATATCCAAACGGCTAACCTTAATATTGGTAAATTAGCCAAGGCACGCAAAAAAATGAATGAAGTTCTAACGGATGTCGCTGGAACACTCCGTGGAGTCTTCTCTGAGGCCATCCTAATTCCTTGGAAAGCCAGACACAAGCGGAGTGCCAGCACATCCCTCCCATCTGCCTCCTCAGGCAGTGACGAGGTTCCGCGCTGACCTCAGCACATGGCAAGGGAAGCTTCTCCCTGCAACCAGGCTGCGTAGCCGTGATCCGCATATGGATGTGAGAGTCCCTGCCCCTAAACGTGCAATCTCTCCAGACAGACAAAATGCCGATGAGCTCAAGAAAAACCATGCTCAGCAATTAACTTCAAGAGAACGGGAGTTGATCCACAAAGGCAGGCGTAAACTATCAGCCCGTCCACCTCGCCCAGCAACGACTACGAGGGAAGAGCTGGAGGCAGAAGCTGAAGTCCAAGAACCACAGGCTGCAGAAAGCTGTGTGAATCCGGCTAATAGAGGGTATCTAATGATGTGCCTTTGATGAGATTCCTGCTAAAGGGAGGTTTCCTTGTCCCAGACTAGCCTTTGGGCAGGCATGCGGGTCCCTATCGGGCCACCTTGCGCCGTGAGCAGCACTGCGCAAACTCCAGGAGGCAGGGGGCGGGGCGCTGGCTAGCACTTGGAGCCTCTACCAGCCAATCTTCTCCTTAAAAA